ATACTGTGGAAAGTTATGTTCGGTCGTCTTACAGCCGCGATCCAAGCTAGCCGACGACTCTATCTCTGCCTCCAGGCAGGAAAGCGGTGGAAAGTTAACCCATTTTCTATGTTGTTCCCATGGCGATCATGTGTTGCGCTGTTACTGCCCACAATACAGCAACGGTTTACCATGGTTGAAATCAAGTTAAGGTGAAATTAATCAAATTAAAACACGGCTGAGAGGGAGTACAGTACACGGTAGTCGTAGGCAGTAGTCTGAGCCGCGGTAAAGGAGGCCATCAACATGGCGGCCACACAATGTAATTATGTCATGACGCCCAAGCCCTATTCACATCCCGTCATATTACACCACCTGTCCAGCACAAAGCCTGAAACCTCATCTGTTGTGAAGCCCCGCCCCCTCATGATTTATCTCCACCTACCGGGTCATTTATAAAAATCTCAATCTAAGTTTTAATGTATTTATGAAACCAATACTTAATATTTTTAAGCAATAAAAAGTAGTTAGATGCCGTCTCTTTAATCTTACCAGTCCACACAGCAGCGCCTGCTCAGGAAGCAGGAAAGCAGCGAAGTCCCGCAGCAGGTCGGTTTGATCTCCCAGGATGCAGCGCAGCTTCCTGAACAGCTGCGTCACTTCCTGTCCCTCCCCCACCTGCTCAAACTTGTTGAGCAGAGAAACAAACTCCTGCACCTGCTCCGGCGCACCTTGGAGGGCCTCACGCACCTGAAGACACAGAGTTTCACAGTGAGCTTCTGGAAGGTTCTAAACCTAAAACACTTCGCTGTGATAAAACTTTGAGTTTGAGTTTTACTAGAAGTTATCAAAATGTTTAGGAATATAAATGTTGCAAACATAAATTCAGAAGCAAAAAGAATACCTTCTAAGGTTTCCTATTTGATGAGCAATAAAGATTTGATCAACAGAGAAAAAATCAGATTGCAGTGATGCAGATACAGGCTGCAGCCTGTAGGTGGCGACAAACCTTCACCTCTGGGTAACTGACCAATCGGAAAGAACCTATGAAGGCCAACACTAGATGGACGCACATCCTAAATCACAGGCTGCTTCTGGCTTTTTTTTTTTTTTTTGTTTCATTTGAATGTTTAAAGGAATAGTACACCCAAAACATGATTAGCCTTCATTTTCTACTCACCCCCATGCTGAACAACACTCTGGAGTACTTTTTTGATATCTCAAATGCATCTGGAGATCTGGGAGGCTTCTTGCTGTCTGCTGACATTCAAATAATGGAGGTCTATGGCGCCCGAGACAGAAAGGTCCATAAAAGTCCACAAAAAACGTGTCAATATTCCTCCATACTGCTCGTCCAATGTATTCCATAGACCTCCATTATTTGAATGTCAGCAGACAGCAAGAAGCCTCCCAGATCTCCAGATGCATTTGAGATATCAAAAAAGTACTCCAGAGTGTTGTTCAGCATGGGGGTGAGTAGAAAATGAAGGCTAATTATGTTTTGGGTGTACTATTCCTTTAAGATTTATTATATTTTTGGATAAAGATTAGCCGAGTAGCGATGAACAGTTTTTAAACAATGACTTTGTAAATTAAATAAAAAATAACCTGTCCTTACCAAACTGGCTTTGTGTGATAAAGTATTCACCCCCTAACTCTAATGACCTTGTGTTTCTGATGACATCACGGTGGAGGAACTTGGACCCGCCCTGCTGTGCAGAATTAGTTAAATTCAGACAGGAGGGTTTTCCACCACTGACGTCTGTTTAAGGTCACACAGCAGCATCTAAATCAGATTTAAGTCTTTTTGTTTGCTGATGTGAAACATTTAACCCCCTAAAAAAACAGTAAAAACAGAATCTTTACTGTATATCGACAGATCAGAGAGGAAGAAAACCAACGGATATTAAGTAAATAAACCGATCTACATCAACTCTGAGTTTATTTTAGGAATCCGATCCCGATCCGATATTTTAACCTCAACTCCGAAAAAGGCAAAAATTCGTATAGTGTATTCCGGCTTCACTGGAATGAATACAAACTTAATTCCCCTGCGAACAAATGGACGACGAGCTTTGAATTGAATCTGATTTATTTTTCTGGATTCTAGCAGCTGTGACAGAAAACCTTGAAAGAAGTTCGGAGATTAGAGAAGAGACTGTTATTGTCCCACAGTGGGGGACGTTCAGGACATTCACCCGGGTCAGGTAGCTCTGAGCAAACGCCGCGTCCTTGCTCTCCCTCAGTGGGTCGTTCTCCAGGAGGTTCTCGTCGTACAGCAGAGACAGCCTGGAGGCGTCCTTACTGAGACGGTCCTGACGCGTCCTCGCCAAACCACGGAGGGGACGGGTGCGACCTGTGAGAGGACAGGAGGCTATTGGAGTACGAGGCGGGCGGCAGGATCAAACGTCCTCGATGGACGGATCTCACCTCGTCCTCGTCCTGAACACCTTCGTCCTCTAGGCGTCTTCTCTCCAGACGGTCTCTCCTTGTCTCCATCTGTCTTAAAGCCCCGCCCCTCGTCTGGCTCCTCCCCCTTAGCCTCGTCGTCTTCCTCGTCTTCGTCCTCCTGTGAGGTCGGGGACTGGTCGTCCTCGGAGTCGGCGTCGCAGAGGCGCCGCTCCGCTGCTAGCCACGTCAGCTGCTTCATCGTCTCCTGCGGGAGAGGCGGGGCTGTAGTCATGACAACACTGCTGCGGAGGACACCGTCCACCACCTGGAGACTTATTTACCTGCAGCTCTGGAACAGACAGCACCGACTCCTCTGACGCCGACGACATCACTTCCTCTTCGTCTTCATCTTGTGTGAGGTCATCAAAGTCTTCCTCCTCCTCTTCCTCGTCGTCGTCCTCTTCATCCTCCTCCTCGTCCCCCCGCCGGTCCTTGTCTCCGTCCTCGTCTCCCTCTCCTCGCCCATCCTCTCTTCCTCCTTCGTCCTCATCGCCCCCCTGCTCCTCCTCCTCCCCGTCTGTGTCCTCCTTTTCCTGGTCACCGCCACCCTGTGTTCTTCCCACCTCGCTTCCCTCTGCGTTTGCTTCGCCGCCTCCTTTTAGATCGACTCCCATCACAGACCAGTCCTCCTCCTCCTCCTCTTTGTCTCCAGCGCTGGATGAGAATGGACTAAGTGTTGAAGGAGAGCTGTCCCCCACCATCATGTCGTCTTCAGGTGGGGGGCTCTGAATATTTGGTTGTTCCTGTGTGACTGGTCTGATGAGCTCCTGCCCCACGGCATTATGGGGGAACGCGGCAGAACAGGAACCTGGAGGTGTCCAAACCATCTGGAGAAGAAAGTAGCCGGATTTTTGTGATGCTGCTGAGCAAGGCATTATGGGGGTTGTAGTGCTGAGAGGGGGGCCCAACGGAGCGGACGTCTGTCCAACGGGAAGGCCGAACGTGAGGCCGTCATGAGGCGCAGGGTGGGAGGGGCTTGGATGAAGAACGGCCTTGCAGACAGACGAGGAATCTGACGGCAAATCAGCAGGAGGAGGAGGGAGACAGCTGATTGGCTGCTGCTCCGGAGGCTGGTCCGTCGGGGCTTTGGCGAGGGGAAGCAGGGCCACGTTATGGGCCAGAGTGAAAAGGCGTCTGTGGACACGGCGAGGCGCCTGGGACTTGCATAAATACGAGGGGTGGAGCCGGAGGGTGCAGCCCGGGGGGAGGGAGGGGGGGTAACGGTTGCCGCCCAGACGGGTCTTGTGGATGATTGGCTGACTGTTCTACGGGTGGAAACATCACAGGTCAGCAGTTAGCCAATCAGACAACAGGAGTTTAACAAATCGCTGTAGATCTTCTGACCTTCAGCCACTTTGGCATGGCGGAAGTATCTCTGTCCACTGGGGGGCGCTGGTCTTCTGGGTCGACCCTGCTGCAGGCGACAGGGAGCGGAGGAACAACTCCCTGGGTCGTAAACATCTGCTCAGAAAAAAGCAGAACCAAATAAAACAAAGTTTATAGAGCAAATTTAAGTGGCACAAAAAATTCAAAGAGAAAAGAAAGAAAAAATAAAGCTGCAGAAATAATTTTTAGACAGTTCATTCTAAGGCCTCTAAACAATTAAGATTTTCAATCTTGCTTCAGAATTTCAACTCTTCAACCTTTCTGGGACTTAATGGAGCATTAGAACTAAAAGCTGCTTTTTCTTCTGCCAGCAGCATCATCTGGATCAGCTGCAGCTGTCTGATCTACTTTCTTTGTTTTAGTGAGGACACAGGCAGCAGCATCTGGATCAGCTGCAGCTGTCTGATCTATTTTCTCTGTTCTAGTGAGGATGCAGGCAGCAGCATCTGGATCAGCTGCAGCTGTCTGATCTACTTTCTAGGCAGAGCTGTGGAGATGTTGCTGCAGGGATCAATTTTTCTAAAGATGAACGAAGCGGGAAGTAGTTTTTCAACATCAGTCCTTTAATCCTGGAGATGTTCTTCAGGTGATTGAACATCCGCTTTGTTCCCGTCTCTATGAACCTCTGAAGGTTCAGGTCTGATTTCGTCACTACACCTGGTTGCTGCTTTCTAGCTGGAGTAGCTGAAGCTGGATGCTAACTTTGAAACGCTCTTCATTTGTTCCAAAATCTATGATTTCAGTTTAGTTTGATTCAGATGAAGAACATTTAGTTCATCCATGTGTTGATTTCTTCTCTGCTTTTAGCTGGAATAGGTTCGTCGTCACCTGGTGACATAGTGATGACCAGCTGGGTGTCATCTGCATCGCTATGGTAGCTAATTTTGTTAGGATCTTATTTAGGGGGAGCAGGTAGACCTTGAGAAAGACGGGATCCTAAGGTTGACCCTTGGGGAACGCTACATGTAATTTATATGGTCTCTGATGTAAAGTCACCTACTGACACTAAACAGACCCTCTCCTTCAGGTAGTGTCTCAGAAATCTCTGATGAAATCCTCCGCTCGGCGTCATGGAGCAGCTGTTCACCTTAATGGCGCCGTCCTGCGGCGCTCTTGGGCCGCTCATCTCTCGGATACGTTTCCTGATGCGCTGGCGACTTTTACAGACCAGGTAGGAGCTGATCAGCTGGTCGGACTGAATCGCCCCGTCAAAGTGCTTCAGACCCAGAGCAATCAGCCTGCAGCAAGGCATCATGGGAAAAAGGTCAGTTGGTGTTCAGTCTAACTGAAAAATAGCTTTCGTCTTTTTATCGCTAGATGAATCAGTAGCCGGTTTCCCACTCCTACCCGTCCTCTCCTGCTGTGAAAAGTCTTCGCTGATGCTTGCTGTGTAAGGCGGGGTCCAAGCTGCATACAGGAAGTAGCTCTGGGTACAGGAACACCGGCCGTGTGGCGAACAGCCAGGCGGTGTCAGCAGGCAGTAGCGGGAAAGCAAGACCTGAACAGGAGCGGAAACAAAAATGACCTTCAGGACAGAGAATGAGGTTATTTGTCAGAACCTGGTTTCCGTCTTACTGCTGGTAGTCGGAGTCATTTTAGGCAGCAGCCTTTTGGACGCTGTGGAACCGAGGCGAGCGGGTGGAGGTCTCTCTCTCTGCTCCACCTCCTTCAGGAGATCTAGCGCCCCCTGCAGGTTACACGCTCTAAAGCTGCTGGGGAGACCGAGCTCCAGGCGGCGACTAGCAAACTGTTGCAGCTCCACCTAGAGGAGAGAAAATGGAGATCAGACCTGAAGGTGATTAATACAGGTGGAACTATTCTCCGTTTATCTTCAGGAATCAATTCGCACACATCGCTGGGCCTCTAAGACCAACTTAAAATTTAAACTTCATATCAAAATGATCCTCCCATATACACTGCAGTAATGACATCAGAGCTGGGCCTTCATGCTGCCTCCTCATCCTCAGACGTTCTGCAGCTAGAGCTCCAAAATGTAATAATTTTATAATTAAAGTACTTTCTGAAGTTTGAATTCTGAATATGAGCGGACTTTTTCTTTACTAATCCAGTATTGGCCCGAATATAAGACACGGTTTGTTTCCGTTAAATACAGTTGTCTGGGGTCGATACACAAAAGCAGCAGCAGAGGGCGCCGTTTTTCTGTAGAGCCACTGACCTCACCGTTATTGATATTCTGAATATGATCAGACTTCTCCTTCAAACAGAAGGGGTGTACTCAGATTAATACATTCAAAAACCTACGACGCAGCAGTTGAGTTGATCCCTTCCTGCTTTATCGCAGCCCCAACCTCTTTACAGGGGAAGAGAACCTCACCTGTTCAGCAAGGCCGACATTTCCCTTTTATTACCCCCTTTCAGAGACATAGACAGGTTTGGGTCATTGCAGGCTAACAAAAGAAGCCAAACGACCCCCATTCCAAAGGGGTGGACCCGTTCATCCATTTTAATTTGTATGTTGTCGAAGTCAAAACTAAGCTTTCTTGGGCTGCTGGATAAAACCTTGAAATTTTCTGACATTTTAAATTGAAA